TTTGCCAAGAGGTATTACATCCATTATGAATTCTAACTTGGTCTTCACAGACATATTTTGTCCTTACAGGTATTTTGATTGTGAGATCTTTTAGTGATAACATATCTGACAATGTTTATTAAATGGCAACCAAAATCTTAGTTTAAAACAAACTTAGCCAAAATACACGACATGTTTTCCCTGTGCTCTAAAGTTAGAATGTCCTTTAAATAAATTTAATATTCTTTAATATGTGTGTGTATACTCAGTCATGTCTTACTCCTTGCAATCCCATGGACTGTAGCCTGCCAGGCTCCTCTGTCCATGGAATTCTCCAGGCAAGAATACTGGAGTGGGTTGCCATTTCCTATCCCAGGGGATCCTCCCAACCCAGGAATCGAACCTGTACCACTGAGGCACCTGGGAAGCCCAACCTTCTTTAATAAGCATGTTCAGTTTAACCTACTGTTTATTTTGCTTCTTTAAAGTTAACTCTTTTTAGAAGCACAGTGTAAGAATATTTGTCAAGATCTTTTGCAAAGCCAGAGTAAAAAGGCTTCAAATTAGGACTGAAGTGACTCTCTGAGCGAGGTTCACAGATTTAAACAATGGACTTGTTGTGTTCTGTTTCCTTACTCTTCCTACTTGGTGCTCAAAATTCCATAGAAGCCCGGTTGCTTAAGAAGAATTTCAGTAAACTTCGCAGTCAACATGACTGTGGGGAAGACAAGTCCCTGACTAGGAGCTAGTCCTGTGCCCCAGGCAGCAAATTCTGACCTCCACTGATTACATTTCCTGTGTTATACAGGCTAACAATACTATTTCTTTACATCAGAAAACTTAACTATTTGTAATGATACATCTATTTGTGATTATTTGATTTATGTACACATTCCCCAATAGACTGTAAATACCATGAAAGTGAGGTCCATGGCTAGTTTTGCTCACCATTACATCTGCAGCATTTAGTCTAGGAGGTGTTCAATAATTCTGTGATGAATGACTGAAGAAACATGTGCCAAGTCTATATAGAGCCCAGATTTCTGGTTCCACTGGTGCTGCCCTGTATGACCTTGGACAGAGAATTACATTTCCACTGAGTCTCAGATACCATGTTTGGAAGAGGGTCTTCAGGAAGATGGTCACTCAGCATTTGTCCATCCACTTTAGACTTCTAATCTCTTTAAATATAAAGGAAGGAAGTTGTCCAGATTAGAAAATGGCCCAGTAGGGTGCTGTAGGAGAGGCAGTGGCAGGCGGTGGTTTGCTGAGCATCCCTAGGAAATGGCATGAAAGACTCCCGAGTGAAGTGTGACCTCTCTACAGCCTTTGGAAAAACTGTGACGGGAAAGAAGCTTCTCACTGAAAACCACTTTTTTCCTTCCTCTATCAGTTTCTTAAATCCTCACACCCACCACCATCAACATGACCATGCTGACAACTCCAACAGATCAGTGTCCTCTCACCTCCCATTCTGTCCTGACTGTAAAAAAAAGATGCTGAAATAAACACATTCACACGTAAGTGCACTTTTAGGAACTTTTTTTTAACTTTACTCTCCTGCCGTTGGGGTTTGCATTTTCCAACTTAAGCTGTTTGTGTGTGTGTCGGGGGGGGGGGTGTTTAACTCATATAAATTAAATAGTAAAGACTGAACTTCAGGCATGGTGGGAACTTTTTTTAGTGGCTTAAGGGAGGCTTTCATAAGCTTCCTCAAATCCCATGCACACGTACCAAGAAGTAGAGTGAATCTTTTTTGACCTTCCAAGGTTAAGGGGATTGTACTAGGTGTACAACTTAAGCTGTTTGTGTGTGTGGGGGGGGGGGGGGTGTTTAACTCATATAAATTAAATAGTAAAGACTGAACTTCAGGCATGGTGGGAACTTTTTTTAGTGGCTTAAGGGAGGCTTTCATAAGCTTCCTCAAATCCCATGCAGAGGTGCTACACTTTACCAGCTTTACCTCACTGCCTGACTCCTAGGAGCATCAACGAAATCCAAGTGCACAAACCTATGCTACATAACACTTTGTCAACAAAATCATCACTTAGGTACCCTTCCAGGGCTGAGACTCTGGTGAGGTATGTGAGGTATTCACCTTGGGAGCAAATTAAGGGGGCACCAAAAAGCTTAGTTATCAAGGTGATATTTTAATGTAACACTTTAAAATAAAAATGCAGAAAAAATTCATGATGAACAAGATACCAAGTTTTTAATAAGCCAACATCAGTATTGATTTTTTTTTCTTTTTGCCTTAGGCTTCAATACGGCTAGACTAGGCATTTGAACTCTTCCTCCCTTCCATTCTGATGAAACACAACTGTGAGTGTGCATAATGAAATGTGCCAACAAGGCCCCTTGTGCTGATTGCGTCACTGTAGGCTGGGGGAAGGGCTGTTGGGAGGGCACCTGGCTCAGACCATGGGAGCAGGCATCCAAGGACTGACAGGGAACCTTCAGAATGTGTCCTGGAGGGAGGCTTCCAAGTTCAAGAAAGAGGCTTCCGCTGGAGCACAGACACTCTTTAAAACCATTACCTGTCTGCACATGGAAATAGCAGAGCCATGTACAGGGTTTTCACATTTCTTCAGGCAGCCATTCAGCCCTGCATACTGAAGAAGGGATCTCTGCCGTGAAACAGTGAAATACTTCATTTCCTGTTCTACCAAACATCCCTGTCCTGATAAAGTCCAGAGACAAACATAATATTGGTTGTTTTCTCTCACTCTAGGAGCAAACGCAGGGAGGGGGGACAAAGAGAGGGCTTTCTCTTCGCTGAGTGCTGAGAGAACACAGTAAATGATGACAGGAAGGATCTGTGTTCTGAGAGACTTTAAGTGAGTCGTGACAACCTCCCACACAGTGTCCCCAAGGGGCAGTGGGGGTGGGGATGAGGCATCTCATCAGTGCTGTTAGTGAGTCAGGCTGCCATCAAGGCTTCAGCTCTCCTCTGCTAACGTAGGCAGGGGGAAAATGCCAAAGGAGAAATGCTCCTTACTTTACGTGAATGGGAGAACATTTGGGGAGTGAAAATTAATCCTTTTTGAAAATAAATGATGGAAGAGGGCCACTCTTGAACCAAGCACCATACTGCCTAATAGCTGTGGCCAGCCAGACAACACAAGTGGGATGATGTTGGGGAAAGCAGGCAGGGCTGACCTCAGACATCCAGTAGGTGATATAACTCCATTCCTGGTGCCTCTGCATCACTGTGCTCCACCTGCAATGCCAATATCCTCCCTGGGCCATTTCCACTGACTTTTGGTTAGACACTGAGGACTAAGTTTAGAATGGTCACCTAACATGTTATTTTTTCCATTTTACTAGAAAGTTATTGATTAATAAGAATTTTAAGGAATCCCTAAAGGTAATATATTAGGCATTTGTAATAGGCAGTAGGTAGATATTCCGTGGCTAGAGATCCTGTGAAACATACAGGACACTGGAGATGTCCACTTACCAGATAGTGAGCTCAAAACAGTTAAAAAGGAAAACTTAAGGCTAACTACCTAGATTCCCCTTCAGTGTTCTTGCATCAGAGATACAGAAAGTGAGAGACTAGAAACACTCTCAGGGAACAAGGCTTGCTTAGCAGATGGGGGCCTTTGCTCTTGGCATTCCTTCTTTGGAATATTTTCCCCATATCTCTTCCCCCGAGTGCCCCTCCATCCCCACCCCTCACCTCCAGTATATCCACATCCTAATTCCCAGAACCAGAGCATGTTAGGTTTCAAGTCATGGAGCAATAAAATGGAATTAAGGTTGATAAGGGCTTCCCCAGTGGCTTAGAAGGTAAAGAGTCTGCCTGCAGTGTGGGAGACCCGGGTTGGATCCCTGGGTTGCTAAACATCTGTCTGTTGAGAAGCGGAGATTATGCTTGATTATCCAGGTGGGCCAAAGTAATCACAACTGTCCTAAGTAGAAGAGGCAAGCAGAGAAGGGGGCGGAAGGTCACTGAGATCCAATGTGCTGCCTCTGAAGATGAAGGAAAGGGAACATGCCTTAAGAAATGTGTGTATCCCCTAAAATTTGAAAAAGGCAAGGAAACTAATTCTTCCATAGAGCCTCTAGAAGGAATGCAGCCATACAAACACCCTGCTTTTGGCCTCTAAGACCCACTTTGGACTTCTGAGGACAAAAATCTGTAACATAATAAATTTGTGGTTTTAAGGCACTCTAGTAATTTGTTACAGCAGCAGTAGGAAACTAACTCATCTTATCATTTGATATAAGTTCAAATGTCATCTTCTTAAAGAGACTTCTTGACATCTCTCACCTGATAAAGGATTTTCCCATGCCCAAGCACTTTCTGTAACACAGTTTCATTTTGTCTGCTTATTATTATCTACAATTACTTTACTAATGTGTTTACTACTCTTCCCTCTCACAAGAATGTAAGTTCTAGGAGGGTAGTGCTTTTCTTTTCACATATTATCTTCATTGTTTTGCATACTACTACATGGTAGACACTTAAATAATATCTGCAGTATGAATAAGCCTTAAGCTAACAAGGACCGTAACATTCCTGCTACTGCTCAGTCACAAAGGGCAGCTGTTTACAAGTGTCCCGTGGCCAGTAGGTACTGTGTTGCAAGGAACTCCCAACAGGAAACAGGAATAGAAGCAGAAATAACCAACAAAATTTTCCAAGTAGTTAATCAGTTGCTTAATTTTAGGTACCTGGAAGCAAAAAGTTTGAACAGTAAGCACTATCCCTGGACAACTGTAGACCAGACAGCCTTCTGTGACAGCCAAGAAGTAACCAGTTGGGGATGACCAGAAAGCTGTGAAAATATATGTAATTAACTCAGGTTGCCTAAATTGTAACTACAATTCATAAGGGAATCACATGTAAAAACACCTTATAACGTAAGGACAAAAGGATAAATAAAAAAAGGCCAAAGAGTGAGATTACTTTCTTTTTATATTGATAGGTCAATTCTTTAATGGAAATTCTGAAGAGTATCAGGTTCAGCTAAAGACAATAGTGTTGATAATCTCCAGTTGTCTGGTCAGATACAAGCAGACCTGATTCCTAAAAGGAGAGCCACAGAAAGAGCTGGCTGCCAGGGACATTGGATCCGCCTACTCCAGTGAGGAAGGCGGTGCTGTCTCGTCTTCCAGGCCCACGTGCCCAACCAGCTGGGACTTGCCTAGAGCCGCGCATAAATCAAAAGGGCCGCACACCCTCCCAGCCCAGAACAAAGCCAGCAGTAAACAGCCCGAGGGCCCTACGCTCAGCCAGCCAATGGCCATAGAAATGGGGCGGGACCTCGGGGATAATGGACCAATAGGAAGTGGTGGGGTTTGAGCTCTCCCCGGGTCCTAGGGCGGCCCGGGTTTGCAGCCCCCGCCCCAGGCCATGTGGGAGCCTCACAGCGCCGAGGCGTTCGCGGCGGCCCTCGGCGGGGTCTTCTTCCTGCTTCTCTTCGCCCTGGGCGTCCGCCAGCTGCTGAAGCAGAGACGGCCGTCGGGCTTCCCCCCGGGACCGTCGGGGCTGCCATTTATCGGCAACATCTACTCACTGGCTGCCTCGGCCGAACTCCCCCATGTCTACATGAAAAAGCAGAGCCAGGTGTACGGCGAGGTACAGCCGACGGAGGGCCCGCGCCTTCCTCCCCGGGGTGGGGGATGAGGGTGGGGTCCGATGCTCGTGGGTGCCAGTTATCGGGACCCTGCTCCGTGTGCCCGGAGAGTGGAAGCAAGCCCGCTTCCTGTGCCAGGGGACAAGGTCCTCGGGCGGCGCCACTGCCGGGGCGGGGGAAAGGAGAAACCTGCCCATCCTTGAGCCCCGCCCACTCGACGCCCGCGGAAACTGGGCGGGATTCTCCCGCCCCCGAGGGCGAAGAGGTGCAGCTCCCGCGCATGTGCAGTGGGACCCTGGACCTGCGCCGGCCGCCCCGTCGGGCGTCACAGGCGCCGCCTTCAGCGTTCATACCCCGCGCCCGGCTTCTCGGGTTCACGGAACCTCACGCTGCGCGCGTAGGCTAGCCTCCCCTCACGGCTTCTGTGGCTTTCTAGGGTTGAATTAGTGGTTAATAGGAGGTCGTTGGGTATTTGCATTTGAGAATGGCTGGTCTAGGCGTCTGCTGTGAGGAGGAGAGAGCGCAGGTGAAGGACTGTGAAAGAGCCAATGAATTAATGAGTGAAGATCAGTGCGGTGTCCCACTGCTGTGCTGTCTACTTAGAGATGGGAGCGCCCCCACAGCTACACGGAGCCTCCCTTGCACTATGACCTCTCAAGGGCAGGTCTTCTAGTCCTCCTTTTTTTCGGCGGGTGAAACTTTGGTGCAGACCTGCTGAGTGATTTGTAGGTTGCCACACAGCTGCCAAAAGCAAGAGAAAGGCCCGAGTCCTAGCTTGCCTTGGGAAGAGTGTCCTAACGAGGAGGCAGAAGATTCCAGAAAACGCCTTGACACAGCTCAGTTAATTTGTTTTAAATCCTTTCCTTTATAGGAAACTACTAGCCAGACTCTGCCAGATTCTGGGATGAAGAGGTGAAGAAGGCAGTGTCAACTTAAAAAATTCGCTGATGTGAGAGTTGGGAGTTAAGTTTTATTTGGGGGCAGAATGAGGACCGCAGCCTGGGAGACAGCACCTCAGATAGCTCTGAGAAGCTGTTCCAAAGGCAGCGGGGTAAGGCCAGTATTTATGTGACTTTGGTGAAGGGGTTGTTCATGTAATCTGGGCACATATTTTGGTAGAAGGTTTTAGTCGTTGTGAGGAGCAGATGTCACCATGAAGGGGTTGAGTGCTTTTCCAGATATGAAGAGATGCTTGAATTGGGTTCATAAAATTAGCTTCTGAAAATAGCAGCCTATCTGAAGACCTGTTCTGCCAGTTTTCTGGAATGGAGTGCCTCATTCCTGGTTTCCATTCTGACTGCCTTCAGGGCATATTGAAGGTCAGCAGGTACAACAGCACTTGATGTAGAGGTAGATGGCAAGTGCCAATTTGTAGTGGACAGCAGTCACAGCCTGATTTTAGGTAGTTACAGTCCAGTGAGAGAGAAAAATTAATGATCAACCACAAATCGTGTTGTGAAAAAACAGGACTGTTTGGCAGTTGTGGCATTCAGGTTTGGGATTACATTCGTATTTAAACCAGTTTTTACAAGAATTATTCTAAGTTTCTGCAGTTCACTAATGGTCTGTATCACTATAGGAAGGCTGGACTTAAAGCAAATAGGTATAATTCTTAGATTTTATTTTCCATCCTCCAGTTTGTGAGTGTATTTGCATGGTTTTCATCAAATATATTTGATTTCTGGTGTGTTGGTATGAAGCATTATCAGTATTACAGAGAAATCAGAAGATGTGAAAGTACAAGACCAGAGGTTGAATCCTCTTTCATCAGATAAAACTTGACCTTTTCTTGTCTAAATCTTAATTTTGCCTGATATGCATCATGGCAATAATAATAACTGAACACAGCTAAGTGCTACTCAAATGTTCTTGGTTATTAATTACTGAAGAATTTATTAGACCTAGAAAGTAGAAGGTGTTTTTAGACCAGCTATGTGAAATGCTGTCGTTCAGAATAGGAAGTTGTTTTTCGTATGTACATATTTGAAGTGAAAGGAACTCAATTTTCTATGAACATTGTTTTTGGGGAGAGGGTAATCTAAATCTCCCAGTAATGTAGCCTGCCAGGCTCCTTTGTCCATGGAATTTTCCAGGCAAGAATACTGGAACAGGTTGCCATTTCTTACTCCAGAGGATCTTCCCAACCCAGGAATTGAACCTACGTCTTCTGTGTCTCCTACACTGGCAGGCAGATTCTGTACCACTGTGGTTGTTGTTCAGTGGCTAATCATGTCCGATTCTGCAGTTCCATGAACTGCAGCACACCATACCTCCCTGTTCCTTACCGTCTCCCATTGAACTGGTGATCTCATCCACCCATCTCATCATCTGTCACCCTCTTTTCCTTTTGCCTTCCATCTTTCCCAGCATCACGGTCTTTTCCAGTAAGTCAGCTTTTTATATCAGGTGGCCAAAGTATTGGAGCCTCAGCTTCAACATCAGTCCTTCCAGTGAATATTCAGGGTTGATTTCATTTAGGATTGACTGGTTTGATCTCCTTGATCTCCAAGGGACTCTCAAGAGCCTTCTCCAGCACCACCAGAGCCACCTGCAAATCTCCCAGTAGTAGGACCCAAAAAACTGGGTTTACTTTTTTGAGGGTGTGGAACCGAAAGATACAACCAACCCAAAGATCAGTAGAAGGATTTACTACTTGCAAGTAAAAAGAACACAAGGAAAAAAAAAAGAGGAAGAAGAAAAAAAACCCAAGGGATCTTTCCCAAGGCAGCTTCTCTAGACAAGAAAATTGGGAATGTTTTAAGTTAAGGAATATGCATATTCATGAAGGCTTGGGCAGAGTGTGCACATTCATAAAGGGGCTTGAGCAAGAAAATTCAGCATAGAACAGGGGCAGAAGTTGACAGGTCAAGACAGTTGATTGAAGTCCCAGAGTTCAAAAAAGGTCTTCTTAGGTTCTAGTTGATCTGGTGGTTGAACGCTTCAGGCTAATGTTTACCATTTAAAGAGAACTGGGATTCTTTACAGCTGATGCATTATCTTTGCTATTGTTACTTGTTTTGCGTGATAAATCATTTGTTCTTTTATTCCCTTAAGATTAATTACTGAGACCTGTACAAGGGCAAGTATTGTGCCCAGGCTTAGATCCCCAGATAGCTTAGGCAGAAAATGACTTCTCTTAAGAAAGCCATCCCTGGTTCGTTCTTTCTGAGGACCCCCTATTCTATCTGATGATAAACAATAGAATATATGAATGTGTTGGAAGATTGTCATCTTGGGATAGGTAGCTCTAGTTTAATGGATTTGTGGCACGAATTACCAGTTTTATTGCTGATGCAACTATTTAAGGCAGTCATGGATCTTTACAGGCTTCCCTGATAGCTTAGTTGGTGAAGAATCCGCCTGCTTTGCAGGAGACCCCGGTTTGATTCCTGGGTTGGGAAGAGCCTCTGGAGAAGGGATAGGCTACCCACTCTAGTATTCTTGAGCTTCCCTTGTGGCTCAGCAGGTAAAGAATCTGCCTGCAATTTGGGAGACCTGGGTTTGATCCCTCGGTTGCGAAGATCCCCTGGAGAAGGGAAAGGCTACCCACTCCAATATTCTGGCCTGAAGGATTCCATGGACAGCATTGTCCATGGGGTTGCAAAGAGTCAGACACAACTGAGGAACTTTCATTTTCACTTTGGATCTTTACAAAGTGGTCTTTTTACTGAAGGTGGTAAAATCAAATAGAACTAATAGAGTGGAGGGAGAAGAAAATGCAGAAATTGAAAGGATGTATGCATTGAAGAGTAGACATTATTTGAGTAACTATTTCAGACTTAAGTTGAAAATCACCTAAAGTATTAACCCTTTAATCTGATAGCTCTTTATCTTAGTTGTAAAACACCGCTACAGGTCTCTCATTGTCTTAGAGGTATTTTCCAATTATGACAAAGTCTCAGAGTTGGTTTGAGGGTTTTTTTTTTTTTTTTTTTTTTTGGTTTGAGTTTTTAAAGTACTATACTTTTTTTGGAAGTGGAAGGAAACTATTATCTCCGGTACTTCTAGAAGGTTGTGGAAAGTTGTTTATATGTCTTACTTATAAATAGAATCTTATTTTTCTGCTATGTTTCATGATGATCTGGAGATGTGTGCTCAGAGAAAGTCATGGACTTTAAAATTGCTTATGAGAACTGACAATCACTTCAAGTGACACCTACTTTTATGAAGTCTGTGAATTCAATTCTCCTTCATAATTCTTGAAGACAACTGGTCCTGAAGTCTTATACAGTCATTTTAAAGACATTCTTATATAGAAGTGTACCACACTGAGACTTAACATTACCTTAGAGATCCACCCTGAATGTGTAAGCTTCTGCAGTGACTAATCTTAACCCAGATTTTCAGAAGCATTCCCTAGCTAGCAAAGCTAGTATGAGGGGTTTTAACAGATTATTTTCAGGTAATGCACATAAGGATAATAAAATAATTACTTTGAGGCAAGTGGAGTTGACAACCTATAATTTATTTATACAGTAAGCATTTATTGAGATTTATGCAAGGCATTGAATGAGATTTTATGGAGTGTTCAAAGATGAAAGGGATGAAATCACTGAATCAAAAGAGTTTATAATTTAGCCAACAAGCAGAAGATAAGCATTCATATAATGCTTCTGGTTTTTTGTTCTAGTGCTATATTGCTTCAGTCGTGTCTGACTCTTTGTAACCCACTGTAACCCACCAGACTCCTCTGTCCATGGCATTTACCAGGGAAAAATACTGGAGTGGGTTGCCATTTCCTACTCCAGGGGATCTTCTGACCTAGGGATTGAACCTGTGTCTCCTGCATTGGCAGGCAGGTTCTTTTCCATTAGCACCACCTTTGGTAGTATTAAATAAGTTCCATGGGAGCTTTCAAGCATGTGCTGTGGTGGTTTAAGGGAAAAAGAGAGTGCACCAAGAAAGGCTTCATGGTGGTTGGTCCCTAAAGACTTGGTGGTTTGGACAGTGTGGCAGTCAAGGGAGGTATTCCAAATGAGAATACAGCCCGAGCAAATGTTGAAAAATATGGCAATTACCAGTTTTTATCAAAGGACTTTTTACATTCCTGTTATTGGCACTTAGTCTATAGTGTTGTAAAACATGCTTAAATGTGTTTCTCCACCTCTTTTCTTTAATTCAACATATATTTATCAGTTGTTAGCATATGCTGTATACTATCCTAGTTGTGGAGATTTAGCAATGAACAAAACAAATGAAAGTCCCTGCTCTCGTGTGGCTTACATTATAGTGGTGGAAGGGAGGCAGTAAGCAGGACAGGAACAATGTAAACACGATAAGTATATAACATGTTAGAGTATAAAATATAAAATAATTAGGGTAAGGATGATGGAGAATGTTAGGGGGTGAAATTTTAATGGGTTAGAGCAGGACTCACTGCAAAAAAGGCATTTGAGCAGATACTTAGAGGAAGTGAAGTACCAAGCCATGGGAATATCTAGGGGAAGAACATTCCAGGCCAAGGGAACAAGTACTAAGGCCTTGAAGCAGGAATATGCCATGTTGAGAGTCACCTGTAAAGGCACAAGAGGCAATTGAGATCATACAGGGGAGAAATGAAAGATTAGAGTGATGAAGATTACTCTAGATGAAAGATTAGTGATGAAGCTGGTAAAAAACTGTCATATTTTGTCTGTATTTTTAAGTCGAAACATCATGACGGCTGAGAAGTGATGTGGGGCTTGGGTGAAAAATGGAGTCAACATGGCCAGTTCGGGACTTCCCTGGCTGTCCAGTGGTTAAGAGTCTGTACTTCCCCTGCAGGGGGTGCAGGTTCAGTCTGTAATCAGGGAACTATGATCCAGCATGCTGTATAGTGTGGCTGAAAGAAAAAAATCCAAAACAAAAAACACCATGAGCACTTTGGGACCTGGATATAGTTGTAGGACATCTACCTGGTGTCCCAGAATTGCTTGATATATGGAAAATCACACATCTGGTGTCATAAGTATTGTAGTTGAGTGCTGAGAGTTGAGGAGACACACAGGAGGAAGTTTTTCCTTTGTATTTACTTAAAATTATGCTCCTGGGAAAAAACGTATAAGACCATCCCATTACTGCTTTGGGAATGGAAAAGAGCCCCTCCTTTGCTCAGCTGGTAATCACTTCCTTTGTATGCAAACTCTCACACTGCCACTTTTGACATACCATTGCTTATGGCCGGCAGTCCACAACCCTTCCCCAAAGTTCTGGGTGTACCTTCTGCTCCGTTAGCAGGGTACATCCTTGTGCCAAAAACTCTATTGCTCAGTTTGTTGATTCTATTGCTACTTGGAGGTCTTGATCACTTTTTCTTCTGTAAATACTTCCGTTGAACTTCAGTTCTCTGCTAAGCCTTCTGGTTTCCTCCATCCCACCCCCCAAAAATTGAATGAATCATGGCCAAAATCCATTCTGCCTGTTTGCACAGAGATGAGGCTTGACTCAGTTATTTTTGGCACTCGAAAATCCTCAGCCAGGGACTTCCGTGGTGGTCTAGTGATTGAGAATCTGCCTTCTAATGCAGGGGACATGGGTTTGATCCTTGGTTGGGGAACTAAAATACTGCAAGGTAACTACTGCAACAGGAGAAAGCCTGGATGCTGCAGCAAAGAGCCCTGTACACAGTGATGACGACCCTGCACAGCCAAAATTTTTTTTTTTTTTTAAGTTCTCAGCTAGTGCCTAAGAGGATGAGGATAAGCAATCATTGCATCTCACTGATAAGGCAGCACTGTTCCTTCACTGGATTAGGCCCCTATGTGGGGCTAACTAGAATAGAGTACAGGAGGTATGACATTTTAAGTGAACCTGTAATGAAGCACCTGAGAAACTACAACAAGGAATGGAATGGATATTCCATCTTTTAGCTCAGAGGCAGCCACCTGTACCTAAGTGGCACATGCCTGTAACTCCAAGGTCAGATATCCTTAGGGCCCTCTGTTAACTTCATGGCATTCAGGGGCCTAAATAAATAAACCAGTGAGTTTCAGTATGTTTTGTTGAGGAAGGGGAAATTTTCCCCTCTGCCCCTCTTAAATTCTTATGGCTGGACTAATAATAGAATTGACACAAGACAGAGTAACAGGAGAGAAAGAAACACATTAGAAATCATGCGCATGGAGGTCTCGTAGAAATGGGATGGAGGAAATGACCAAAGCAGGCAGATTTTATATTTTTCAGATAAAGAACCAATAAATTTGCAAAGAATTGACAGGACAAGAAAAACTTTGTCTTTGGGTGACCAATTAGTGAAGAATCTAAACAGGTCTTGTGATTGGGTAGTAAATTAAAGAAGTAACAAGATTTGTTTAAAAAAGGCTCCTCAGCCCCAAATTCCCTATCTTTGGTAATTGGCAGTAAGGGGTCCTAGGGCTTCCCTGGTGGCTCAGGTGGTAACGAATCTGCCTGCAATGCAGGAGACCCAGGTTCAGTCCCTGGATCAGGAAGATCCCTGGAGAAGAAAATGGCAACCCACTCCAGTATTCTTGCTGGAGAATTCAATGGACAAAGGAGCGTGGTGGGCCCAGTCCGTGGGGCCATAAAGAGCTGGGACACAACTAAGCAACTAACACCTCCTCCATATGCAAAGAGTGCATCTTTCACATGAGAGATTTATTTCCTACTTTCAGGGAGATACAAAGAGAGAGGTGTCCCTCGTTTTTATTTATTTCTATTTTGGTTTGCAGGATCTCAGTTCCCTACTAGGGATCACACCAAGGCCACAGCAGTGACAGTTCCAAGTCCTAACCAGTAGGCCACCAGGGAACTCCCTAGAGTATCCTTTTTGTGTCGGCCATTTCTTCAGTAACTTTTAATTCAAAATAATTAATGTGCCATTGAGGCATATTTTAGGATTACATATCCTGGGCCCCAACAAAAGTTGTCTTCAGTTTCAAAAGTCTCTTGGGCCTTTGACAATCCCCTCCCCTACCTAAACCTAGAATAATAAATGATATATAGATGGAGTCACCTCCTCAATTTTCTTGGAAATAAACAGAGATTCTGAGATATCGTTGATTGTTTTGAGTTGGAATGAATTTTAAAAGAGCATATAACTCAAGTATTTCTTGATTTCTTATAGCAGCCCCAAAGCCCAAAAAGATTAAGGGTTCTATCCAGTGTCCTATATCTGTTTAATGGCAAAGCTTAAAGTATAACCCAGACCTCCTGAATCTGGTACTGTTTTCATTACACCATTTTTGAGATTATGTCTTGAGTCACTGAATGCATAATAAAATCATTGTGCTTGATATGCCTTATAGAGAGAAGGCACTCTAAACAGTCAGCTGGGTAATAAATGCCAGTATTTTCAAGAAATAAATACTGGGAGAGCTGGACTTAGTACATGTAGATTTCTCTGGTTATATTTCTCAATATATTTTGCCATTTAAATGTTTTTCTTTTCTTCTCAAAGATCTTCAGTTTGGATCTTGGAGGTATATCAGCTGTGGTTCTAAATGGCTATGATGTAGTAAAGGAATGCCTTGTTCATCAAAGTGAAATTTTTGCAGACAGACCATGTCTTCCTTTATTCATGAAGATGACAAAAATGGGAGGTATGTTTGTTTTCACCTATCTAGTAATTGACTAAACTATTATAAATCGCAGTTTTTATTTTATGTAAATTTATTACATAGTAGTGACTGAACAGCTTGCTTACAACCGACTTAGCGACTGAACAACAACAATCACATAGTAGAGATTGGTTTCTGTTGTACTGATAAATTTTTATTGTTCAGTTACAAAGTCATGTCTGACTCTGCAACCCCGTGGACTGCAGCGCGCCAGGCTCCTCTGTCCTCCATTATTTCCTGGAGTTTGTGAAAATTCATGTCTGTTGAATCAATGATGCTATTACCATAACCATCTCATCCTCTGCCGCTCCTTCTCCTTTTGCCTTCAATCTTTCCTAGAATCAGGATCTTTTCCAGTGAATTAGCTCTTCACATCAGGTGACGAAAGTATTGAAGCTTCAGCCTGGCATCAGTCTTTCCAATGAATATTTAGAGTTGATTTCCTTTAGAATTGACTGGTTTGATTTCCTTGCTCTCCAAGGGAGTCTCAGAGAGTCTTGTCCAGCACCACAGTTTGAAAGCATCAGTTCTTCCGTGCTCAGCCTTCTTTATGGTCCGACTGTCACATCTATACCTGACTACTGGAAAAACTGTAGTCAGGCTTAAATTGAAGAAAGTAGGGAAAACCACTAGGACATTTAGGTATGACCTAAATCAAATTCCTTATGATTATATAGTGGAGGTGATGAATAGATTAAAGGGATTAAATCTGGTAGACAGAGTGCCTGAAGATTGTGGACAGAAGTTCATACTGATTAATAGGAAAGCATTAATTAGTTAATTTAAGCTTTAGAACCTAACATTTGAGTACTTTCAGGCTGTATATTACACTCATATTTTACATGCTAATTCTTCTGTTGTAATCTAGTTCTAATACTGTAAATGATGTTTTAAAGAAGTAGCACAGATATTAATATGTGCAGGTTTTGTGAAACAAGTATACATATGTGTGCACACATACTGGAATCAGAAGTATGTTTTAAGCTTGTCTTGAGTGCTTGGTGACATTTTATGATCATTTTACTTATAAGTTTCTAAACCCTTAAACAGGCTTTCTTAACTACTAATTAATATGATATGTAAATGAAGAACTGTAGGGTATGTGTGAAGGACTAGTATTCTCTATGGTTTAGGCTTGATCAGTGTCAGATGATTATTCAACAAGAGAGAAAGGCTGAAAGTTAACAGAATGGATGAGAAGAAAGCAACAGAAGACTAACATAGAATGTTGATGTCTGTACATCTGTTTTCATACATAATAGTATGAGTTTTTATGAACTTCAAATTTTTCCAAGTTAATGAGAGCTTCACACTTCATTTCCAAGAAAAATACAATAGCTTGATTACATAGACTAAAAAAATAGATTTAAAATGAAAAAGATAAAAAGTAACTATTAAATTGCAAAGCCAATCAACTTGTGCAAAGAAAACACCAATTTAAAAGGCTGAATTAAAAAATAAATAAATAAATAAAAGGCTGAATTATCAGGCCAGAGTATGATGACCCTTAAAAGCAATAATATAACTAAAAAGCAAATCTCCAGCTTCTTCAAAACTCTTCTAAGTAGTAATTAGACCAAAGAAGAAATTAAACCACAAGTTTAATAGAAGACCTTTTAGGAAATTATGAAAATGACTGATATGATCAGAGTAATATTTAGGATAAAATATATGTTTTTTGGCATCGCCTTTTGTTGGAGTGAAAGGCATTCAATTGGAATTGGACGGGAATAAAAGCTGACCTTTTCCAGTCCCGTGGCCACTGCTGAGTTTTCCAAATTTGCTGGCATATTTAGTGCAGCAGTTTCACAGCATCATCTTTTAGGATTTGAAATAGCTCAACTGGAATTCCATCACCTCCACTAGTTCATAGTGATGCTTCATAAGACCCCCTTGACTTTGCATTCCAGGATGTCTGGCTCTAGGTGAGTGATCACACCATCATGGTTATCTGAGTCATGAATATCTTTTTTGTATAGTTCTTCTGTGTATTCTTGCCACCTCTTCTTTATATCTTCTGATTCTGTTAGGTCTGTACCATTTCTGTCTTTTATTGTGCCCATCTTTGCATGAAACGTTCCCTTGGTATCTCTAATTTTCTTGAAGAGATCTCTAGTCTTTCCAATTCTGTTGTTTTCCTCTCTTTTTTTCCACTGATCAGTGAGGAAGGCTTTCTTTTTTTTTTTTTTTCCTTTTTTTTTGAGGAAGGCTTTCTTATCTCTCGTTGCTATTCTTTGAAACTCTGCATTCAGATGGGTATATGTTTCCTTTTCACTTTTGTCTTTAGCTTCTCTTCTTTTCACAGCTATTTGTAAGGCCTCCTCAGACAACCATTTTGCCTTTTTGCATTTCTTTTTCTTGGGGATGGTCTTGATCTCTTGCCTCCTGTACAGTGTCATGAACCTCCTTCCACAGTTCTTCAGGCACTCTGTCTATCAGATCTAATCCCTTGAATCTATTTCTCACTTC